AAAATATCCCGCTCCTTCATCCCTCCCCCGTCCACCCGCAGCCTCCTCGAGGTCCTTTCCCTGGCACCGGAGAAAGCTCCCGAAGGGCTGCGACCAGCTTGAGAGCCTTGTCTGCCACAGGAGGGGCCGCTCTAGCTGCTGCCCCGAAACAGAGCCCTGGGTGGCCTTGGGAGTCACAGTTCTTCTCTCGGGGCTCAGGGCTTCAACGGGGACACCCTTGCCCTCTGCTTCACGGGGTAGAGACCGGAAATTGGGCAGTGTGGAGCACCTGTTTTGTGCTCCAGGCTGAGAGGACAACTGAGTCAGGCTCCTCTGTAGCGCTCTCAGCCTGGGGTGGGGGCGGTCTGTCACAGTCTGGCAGCACACACTGTCCCCCAGTTAGTGGCGGGTGGGTTGTCGCAGAAGCAAGGGCGGGCAAGAAAGGCCTTTGCTAGAATCATGGCTCCTGAGTGACCTTTGGCCGGTCACTTTAATTTCATCTCAACCCCAATTTTCCCTCTATAACGGTCTTACCTGTCTCATATGGAGAGCTGGACACACATCTACAGAATGGCAGGTGCTGAGTAGAGTTAGGTCTTAGAGCCAGGTGTGGTGGCCTTCACCGGGGAGGCAGAGGCAGAAGAATCACAGTGACTTCAAGGCCACAGTGACTTATATGGTCCACAGTTCCAGGCCAGGGCCTCATGAGACCCTGTTTCAAAAAACTAAAAGGTGTTGGTTCTTTTCATTATTATCACTTGCCCAAGCTTTGGGCTGTCCTGAGGGGTGAGGGAACACCAGACATAGCTTTGGAGAGGCGGGGGCTGAGGCAGTCTCAGCAAAGGTCAAGGAAGCAAGTGTACTGATAATCTCCTGTAATCTGAGCACTTTGGGAGGCCAGCCTGGGCTACATAGTAAGACCCTGTCAGAAGAAACTGTTCTTTAAGAAAGTTCAAAGGAGCAAGAGGCCTGCTCCAGTTCTGCTATTAGCTGTGTGGTCTTGGACAAGAGGCCCAACCTCTCCAAACCTCAGTTTCTGTAGGCGAGAAACAAGCAAAGGTGTCCTGCCCCCCTCAGCTGATGGGATTCAAATGAAGTGATGTAGATTGAGTAGTGCTCGGTTACCCGTACAGGGTTGTATTGTGCCTGAGGATCTGTAACTGTGGGCAGGGACTATACAGACTCCAGCTAAAGTGTTAACAGTAGTGGAGCTGAGAATGAGCTCAGTTGGCAGAGTCTCACATAGGGTGCATAAAGCCATGACCTCCAGCACCACATAAACTAGGTGTCGGGGTTGGGGTGATGGCCGAGTGGTTAAGAGCTCTTCCTCTTCTTGCAGAGGACCTGAGTTCAGTTCTCAGCATCCACATGGTGGCTCACAACCATCTGCAGGCATGCATGTGATGCACATACATACAGGCAAGCGAAACAAGCATGCACGTTGCCTTGGTTACTGCTCTATTGCTGTGATCAAGGCAATTCTTATGAAAGAAAGCATTCAATCTTTGTTTTGTTTTTCTAGACAGTGTAGTCCAGGCTGTAGACCAGGTTAGACTTGGACTCAGAGATCCACCTGCCTCTCCCTCCCAAGTGTTGGGATAAAAGCATGGGCCACCACCACCTGACTGAAAGAAAGCATTCAATTAGGAGCTTGCTTACAGTTTTAGAGGGTTAGTCCGTGATCATCATGGTTCTGGAGCAGTAACTGAGAGCTTTACATTCTCATCCACAGTCAGGCAGAAAGAGACTGACTGACTGGGCCTGGTACAGGCTTTCAAAATCTCACTCCCAGTGACAAACGTCCCCCAACACGGCTACATCTATTCCAATAAGGTCACGCCTCCTAACCCCAAACAGTTCACCAGCTGGGAGCCAAGCATTCAAACATATGAGCCTATGGGGCCCATTCTCATTCAAACCACCACACACATAACATTTAAAAATCTAAGCCAGGAGGTGGTGACCCAGGCCTTTAATCCCAGGATTCAGGAGGCAGAGGCAGGTGGATCTCTGGTGTCAAAGCCAGCCTGGTCTACAGAGAGAGTTCCAGAACAGCCAGGGCTACACAGAAACTCTGTCTCGGAAAAAAAAATTAAATATCTAAAACCAAAAACAGGTATGATGGTGCATGTCTGTAATATCTGGGCAGTAGAGAGTAGGAAGCTCAGAAATCCAGGATCATTCTCAGCTACATTAGGGAGTTCAAGGATGGCATGGGCTATAAGAGATCCTGACTCAACTGTCTCCTGCAAATACTAATAGCTAGTGTTTATTGTGCAGCTACTATATACTGTTCTAACATAGATGTATATGCTCCCTGGGCATGGAGGTACATACCTGCAATTCCAGTATTCTGGAGCCTGAGACAGGGTGGCAGCCTAGGCTACACAGTAAGACCAAATCTCAAAAACACCCCCAACCCTGAGAGTGGCTAGAACTTGGTGGTACTCTCCATTTCTTAGGGAGTATATAGGCATACACCACCACCCGGGAAGGGACGAATACTCACACACATACGGAGAACAAGCACACTGATAAAACCCATGCCTTTGGGGCAGTGAGCTGTTCAGGCTAAAGAGAGAAAGCTAGGCAGCCACGTGCTGCCCTTAGATGCCAGGCACAGTCTGCAGTGTGGGGAGAGGGTGACATGGGGCTGTTGTAGAGGACAGACACAAGCCTGGGTGGGAGGGGCTTCTCCAAAGCAGATGTCTACAGAACACAAGAATGAGCATCAGCGCAGTGGCAGGTTGGCCCAGCATCTCACTAATGTGTGTGTGTGTGTGTGTGTGTGTGTGTGTGTGTGTGTGTGCGCGCGCGCGCATGCATGTGTATGACTGTGTGCTGGAGACCAAACCCAGGGCCTTGAGAATGCTAGGCAAGCATTCTGCCACTAGGCTATACCCCCAGCCCTCATCTGTGGCATCACCTTGATTTTCTTTTGGGGATGTAGCGTTCCATCATAGACCATCTGGGACTCAGCATGTAGCGCCATGCTTCTCTGTCCAGTGAAACCCCTTTTCACTAGTTTAGCTCCACTGATTTGATTCAAGTCTATGTTGTGAGAAAGAGATTCATCCTGGAGCTGCAGGAGGTGGGGGAAACCCTCTTTGCATTCTGGTTAATAGCCTGAAAATGTGAACACAACCCTAATAGAGTATCTTGTCACCATGTACAAAAAACTAGTCAGAACAGTCCATTAAGAGAAGTGGATACAAAGTGAATACAAAGAGGCAGGATACAAAGACAGATCCTAAGCATAGTTGGAGTGTCTGGATCAAGCTATGTCAGAATCACTCAGCCTTTCTGTGAGATAAGTTGGGTTTTCCCCCACATAAACCAGTAAGTTTGAGTGCCAACTGGTCTACCTACCCTGGCGGGAGACAGGGTCAGAGACCCAAGGAGCCAGATATGCCCAGTAAAGATGGACCAAAATATAGGAAGTCCAAACTCCTGCCGGAGGTTCTCAAGGCCTTCTCTAGTCTGTCTGCCTCAAGGGGGTGTGGGACATGACAGGGCCCAGTGACTGCTGTTTCCTTGTGGCTCCTCCCCAAGTGATGTCAACTTGTCTAGAAAGTACAGAACTTGCTAGTCTAATGGAGTAGGACAACAAATGCATGGCATGCCAGAGTCAGGGTTCTGGTGTCTTCTCATCTTCACGGGAAACAAGCCTGCCTGAGGATAGACCCTGCCAGAGGACAAGAGAGGTCCAAAAGAGAACAAGACAGGGGCCCGAGGACTATATTCCAGACCCGCCGCGGACCCAGATATACTTGAAGGATGCTCCATTTCTGTGAAACAACCAATTATCTGCCTCTAAAAAAGTTACTTCTCTACTGCTGTGATAAGACACCATGACCAAGGCAACTTACACAAGCAAGTGTTTGATTGGTATCAGAGGGTTTGAGTCCATGACGGCAGAGCGAAGGCGTGCCAGCAGGACCAGCTGAGAGCTCACAGCTTGCTCCCTAAGCAGGGGGCGGATGGGACACTAGAAATGGCACAGGCTTTTCTGAAGCCTCAAGCCCGCCACCAGCGACACACCTCCTCCAACAAGGCCACACCTCCTAATCCTTCCCAAACAGTTCCGCCAGCTGGGGGCCAACATGGGCCTATGGGTACCATTTCCATTCAAACTACCACCTCCTCCTCTCCTTCCCACTCTCCCTCCCTCTCTCCCTCCTTCTCCTCCATCTTGCTATTGTATCCTAGGCTGGCCTCAGTCACCTGATCTTCCAGCTCACCCATTACAGGTGCCTGGTTCATATCACTCCATCTCAGTGTTACCAAGAATCAGACAGCCAAACACTATGCTCATGCTATGAATATACAGAAACACCTTGGAAGTATTAATGTTAGGAAAATAATAATAATAGCTATAATGATCTTGAATCCAGACATGCCTCTAAATATAACTGTTGGTTTATAGGAAATAAAGATAGAAGAATAGACAAAGTAATGCTATTAGGAGGCAATTACATGAATCTTCGGTGTGGGAAATGTCATAGGACACACGACCTGGCTTTGACAAATAAATGGCAGCAAAAGCCCGTGGGGGATGAGTGGGATGGACTTGTAAGCCCAGCACTTGGAAGGCTAAAACAGAAGGGTGGAGAGTTTCAGGCCAGCTTGAGTCAAGTTTGCCCCTGTGGCCAAGCACAGCAATGTGTATTTGTTATTTTTCTCACCACTGTGACCAGATACCTGGCAGAAATCGATTAGTGGAGGAATGCTTTAGTCTAGCTCACAGTTCAGAGAAATACAGTCCACCATGCTGGCTCGGGGGAAAGTGGGGGGGTGGGGGAGTGGCAGGGACAGGAGGCTGCCAGTCACTGTGCTGTCAGCCAGGAAGGAGAAGGGAGGGAGCTGAATTCCGCTCTTGGCTCACTCCTTCTCTTCGTTCGGTCTGGGCCCTCAGCCTGTGAACAGTGCCACCCACGTTTACTCGGGTCTGTCCTCCTTACTTGACCCTCTTTGGAAATACCCACACATACACACCCAGTGTGTCTCCCAGGTGATTCCAGACCTAGTTGTGTTGGCAATGAGGATGAGCCATCACACAGAGACAGGACTGCATTGAACAAGCGGTCAGTCTGGTCACTTGGCACTGTTACTAACCAGGCTTACAGTTTTGTAAAAGAGGTTTTATTCCTAAACAGCTGTGTGTGGAGATGGGCATGCAAGTCTCAAACCCACCTCCCTGAATACGGCGTTGAAGTGTGGGGGAAAGTGATTCAAGGTTCTTCAGGAGCAGCTGCTGTAGGTAAGGAATAAAGGATTTATTTCAATGTCCTTTGGGTTCATCCATTCTGGAGTAGTGATGAGATCAGGCTATGCCATGTGCCAAGTTACTCCATACTGTATAGAACAGTAGTTCTTGTAGAGAATAATTTGCCTGGAGAGACTCCATTTAACAAGCAGCATTTTTGTTTTGTTTTGTTTGTGGGTTTTTTTTGTTTGTTTGTTTGTTTGTTTTGTTTTGAGACAGGGTCTTACTATATAGCCCTGGCTGGCCTGGAACTTGCTATTGTAAACTAGGCTGGTCTTGAACACACAGAGATTTGCCTGCCTCTACCTTCCAAGTGCTGAGATTAAAGGTGTGTAACGCTACACCTGGCTACAAGTAGCCTTTAAGGATGAAGGATGACGGCATCTTCATTCATCATGAAGGGTGAACACGTGACCAGCACGTCTCCCTGGCACCATTCATACAGCACAAACTGATACACGAGTTATTCCTGGGAGCAGATAGGGTGCCACTCTTATCAATTTATTCAGTGAAAGGCTAGAAAGGCTTAGCAGTTAAAAGGACTTGTTGCTCTTACGGATGGCCTGGGTTCAGTTCCCAGCACCCACATGGTAGCTCATGACTGTCAATAACTAGTTCCAGGGGATCTGTCATTCTCTTCTGACATCAGCAGGCACGCAGACACAACACTCTTATACATGAAACAAAATCATCCACAACACTTTACTGGGTGAATTGAGACTGTGGTGTAGAGGAACATGGGCATAGTAAAATACGGGAAATCAAATCCGAGACACACCAGTCAGAAGAAAAGGGGTAACTCCCTCACTTGTAACCCACAAACTAGTTGCTGCAATTGTGATGGCCCACCAATCTGTCATTTAACCATCTCAGTGTGTATTTACTCAGTTGCTATCTGTCTGTCCTGTTTGTTCATCTGGATCTGTCCAACCGTTCCTTCTGGGCATCCAGTCCTGCCCTCTTGCCTCTGCAGCTGGGCTCGGCCCTACAGCTTCGCTCCCAAACCTGCGACCCACAGCAGCAGGGTCATTCTCTTACCAGTACAGACTTTTCCATCCCAGTCTCTTTCCCAAATTTCACTTCTTGGGCTTTTTTTTGTCTTTGCCTCTTCAATCCTTTGTAAGTACCCTGCAACCTACCTACATATACACATGTATAGATATATTCACTGTGTGCTGCATAACATGAGATTTGAGGATGTCTCAGTTACTTTCCCATCACTATGATAAAACACCATGACCAAGGAAACATAAAAGAAAGCATTGAATTTGTCTTATTTCAGAGGGTTGGAGTCCATGATGGCAGAGCAAAGGCTGGAAGGCAGGAGTAGCTGAGAGATCACATCTTTACCCACAACCATGAAGCGGAGAAAGAGTGCTGGGAACTTCAGGAGTGTTTGAAACCTCAAAGGCTTTCCCTAGGGCACAGCTGATCTTTCCCAAACAGGCCCACTAACTGGGAACCAAGAATTCAAAGATATGAGCCTATGGAGTTCACTCTCATCCAAACCACCCCTAAGAGTTAGTATAGCAATTAAAATTGGAGTAAGAAAACTCATGTTCTGGGCTGGGGCTGGAGAGATGGTTCAGTGGTTAAGAACAGTGACTGCTTTGCATGGGACCCAGGTTCAATTCCTGCACCCACATGGTGGCTCACAACCGTCTGTAACTCCAGTTTCAAGCCAAGCTTGGTGTAGCACTCCTTTAATCCCAGCACTCGACAGAGACAGGTGGATCTCTGTGAGTTCGAGGCCAGCCAGGTCTACAGAGCGAGTTCCAAGACAGCCAGGGCTACAGAAAGAGACCATGTTACAAAACAAACAAAACAAAAAGGGAAAGAGGAAACTCCAGGTCCAGAGGCTCCAACTCCTCCTTCTGGCCTCCATGGACACTGCACATGTTCACAGATATAAGCACAGGCAAAATGCCATGCACCTAAAATAAAAACAAAACAAAACTTAGAAAGGAGCTTGTGTCTGCTTCAGCCAGGGTTACCACGGAAGTGCAGGATTATCAACAAATTGTTGCCATTGACAACCCTTCTTTGTGAACTTATTGTTGTTCCATTTTTGACGTTGTGGAAAGACACAGACCTCCTTCCCCTCCCCACCCCCTTTCTTTTTGAGACAGGATCTCACCATGGAACTCTGGTTTGTCTGGAACTCACCATGTAGACCAGGCTGGCCTCAAACTTACTTACTTACATGCCTCAGTCTCCCAAATGCTGGAATTAAAGGTGTGTGCCACCCCCCTCAGCCTATCTATGTTTCTGACATAGTGTGCTCATTCCAAACAAATTTTATTTTTTTTTAAATAGGCCTGTGAGGTGGCTCAGTGGGTAAAGACACTTGCTGCCTAGCCTGACTACCTGAGGGTGTGTGAGGCCCAAAACCTATATGGTAGAAAGAAGTGATTCCTGCAAATTGTCCTCTAACCTCTGTACACATGCTATCTCTCTCTCTCTCTCTCTCTCTCTCTCTCTCTCTCTCTCTCTCTC